CCCTCCCCTACAAAGTGGATTTGTTCCCACCTTGGTGCGGATGCTGATCGCCCTGTTGTTTTCTGGGGCCTGGGGCATTTGCTCCTCTTTCACGTGATTTTACTCTTAGTAACCCGCTCTAAGACAACTTTGATGAAACTGATGGACCTTTTGTAGTTTGACGTCTGCAGATTGCTCAGGTCTTCGCGTCACGGAAGTGATTCATCGTGACTACACCCTACAAAACCGCACTCTCATGTCTAGTAGGTTCTCTCAAGTCAATCTCAGAACTAGTATTATAGCCTGCCAAAGGCCTGATCGGCTTTGGCTATTCGGGCCTAAACTTTATCGTTGATTTTAAGGGTCCGAGTTTAATCCACTACCCTGACATGACTGCTTAAAAAAACATTCGACAGTCGAACTAATTTTACTTTTCCCTTCTTGTCACAATACTCTGTCAACATTAAATTTTATTTCCTCCAATTCATTCTTTCAAGTTAATAAGTTAATGCCATTTTGTTCTTGTCCGTTTTGTTGGCGATTTCGAATGTGGTTATTTGGTCTTCCTCTAACAGGTCCTCCAAACTTGTAAAGAACCCTTGCCTGATATGTACGGCCTTGTAGGACGTATCCACAAGGACCGCTTCATAGAGTCAGACTACACCGACAAGGAGGCTCTAAAATTGGCCATTGACGGTTATCGGCGCGGATTTGAAAGGCACCACAACGAGTACTTGGGTGTCAATCTGGCTACTCTCTTGGTCATCGACGGAGCGGACATGTCCTCGGGCCAGGAGCTGCAGTGTGTCTGTGAGTTAGCCTTCAATGCAGTATTTTTCTTTTTACTTGAGTTTAAACACTGCTTATTTTGCTAACCCGCAGTGGCCTCTCCCCCCAGGTATTTTTCGTTCATCTCCTTGAGGTGCTGTACTTCCCTCTTTGTCCTATTCCTTATACGTCCCCTAGACGGGCATGATAGATGCGCTGGATCAACAGAGGGGCCAGATCAGGACACGGCAGGCGTTACTCGGGTTGCTCGCCGATAATTAAGGCCGAACACAGGGGCGTCTTCGGCCGCGCCAGCCACCTGCGCCCGATGCCCCCTCTGGCATTTTTGACTCTGTCTTGATATTGGGCGCAAATGTTTGAGGAAAGAGCGAGTGTGCTAGAAGCTCTGCGCAAGCCTGCTATCAATTAAAACTAATTCACGCGCAGTTCGCCGTCCCTGCACCTCTGTTGTGGAGCATAGGGTGGACATCGTCAAAATCGACGGTCTAACTGTCGTTGGCTCCTTTTGATTGTCCCCGAGAGGTAGAAACTGTGATTCTCGGTATTTTAAGTTGAAAAGCTAACTGCGGATACCGGGAAAACAATAACATTCTTGGCTTAAATATGTGATCAGGTTCCCTGTGAGAATCCTCCGACGAGGAGCCGTCTGCCGCCAAAACCATATGGTCAGTTGGGACGCGTGTTTGTTTATTCCTTTGGGGGTGCTATTATTTCACTAGCCTCTGTCCTAGGCCGTCTGGGTTGGCAGTCCTTTTACGTGTGGGAGTATGGTCCGTAACCCCTCCGGATGGTTGTTTTCACAAATGTATCTTTTTCTTTCACATACTTAAGTGTGGTTTATTATGGGCTGAACCAACTTCTTTCATATCGATTGGCAAATCGACGAGAGAGTGGTACACTTTATTCTGAAATTATCATTCCAAATTTTTCAGCAAAAACGTCCTCCATTCACAAGGAATAAATTTAAGCGCTCGAACTCACAACACCGGGAAGTCAAATAGAAATCCATAATCTTCAATGGCTGCAATGTTCGATATTTGGTGGTCTTGAGACCCAACTACCACTTAACTCTGACTATGGAATCGAGAAGGTTTTCGAAACGTCAGTTCAACTATAATTTGGTCCATGAACCCGCCCCCTCTTCTTCTTCCTTGATTTTGGGAGATGATGAACGCGATAAACTCATATATACATATATTTGGCAAAAGAAGCTTATGTAGGCCCACTCATGTACCCCTAGTCTCAGCATTTTGTCCTGCAAAAACGGTGGTTATAGAGTTTTG